GATGGCGAGTGGCTTGAAACCCTAACAACTTTCGACCTTGCACTTGATCTGATGACTGGAACAAAGAAAACCTTAAATGGATCTTTGATGGTGGAAGTTCATTCGACTGAGAACTGAGAAAAACCTAAGATGTTTGTTCGACAGCCGACTCTGCAACTCCTCTATCGACCCTCTCCCCTTACCCTTCTCCTCTTACTCTCTCTCTCGACCCTCTGCTCTTACTCTCTCTCAACCCTCTCCTTGACCCAAGTGACCCTAACCCTTTTGACCCAATGGGTACCCTCGACCCAACCCACCCTAACCCTCTTTTCCTTGACCCTAATGGGTCATTTGACCCATATAACCCACTACTGAAATGGGTGAGTATGGGTGGGTTTTGAAGTGGGTGGGTTGGGTGGGTAAGAAGGGTCAGGGCCAAGATTGCCACCCCTACTTGAATTGACAATATTTTTGGACCAAAGGGTCCACCTTCCCTTTGTGATCGTTTGCCCAATGCTTTATCCTCTCCCTCTATTTATTCCTCTCTTCATTTTCTTTCTTTTCCTACATTAATATTGAATGAACATTGGAAAACACAAAGAACATAACATAGAAAGGAGAAATAAATCTCCAAACAAGAGAAAGGGAGTGAAGGAACAAGGAAAGAGTTGAAAAATAAAAGGAAAGCAGGAGAACCATCAGCAGCTAGTCATGCTGCCACCATGCAACTCGTGCACTTGTTCTTGCCTGAGCCTCTGCTATTGAAAATGCCATGGCAAGCATCACCTGTTCCTCAAAAGTCTCTGGCAGAATTGGCGCCATGATGCTAGACTGATAATGGTCATCAACACCATCATGGAGAGGCAATGCACTGCCCCCTGCCTCCAAAGTGGCAACAGAGCTGGTATAGCTAGTCCCCATCTCAGCTACCTCCGAACCATTATCCATTCCCCATTCTCCATCCTCCCTTGACACCGCCCTCCCACTGTGTGCTGAGACATCAATCCAGTTCCCAGAAGGACCATTTTCTAATTCTCCCTCCTCTCTGTTGGGCAACCTACCAGACTCTGGAAGCATGGAAAAACCAGAAATGTTTCCCATGGTAGTGATGGTCAAATTCCCATCTATACGCTGGTGTTCGGCAAGTGCAGAAATTGCACAGGCAAGGCCACTAGAAGGGGATGAGGATTCAGATAATGGGACTTCAGTCAGAGAGGAATAGCGGTCTTCTGTCACAAATGGTTCCGAGTGTGCTGTATCACCATGAGCCGGAATTCTCTGGGCATCATTCTCCTGTTATTATTATTTTTTTTGGTTATCACACATGTGACTCAATCATGTAAATGAACAAAAAACTAAAAATGATAGAATCATAGCCTGTCAAGGAAAGTAACAGTAACTTTACAAGAAAAATTAACAATATGCCAAGTCAACAAAATTTATTATAATTATAAAATATCACCTCCATACAGTATATCAATTACCACAATCTTGCTGACTAGCTTTGTCAGTCAAAACAAGTTAACTTATCCTAAGCATTTTAAAACCTATATTGAAATACCATTTGGTCCCAGTGCATATTAACGAATAGAAAAGATTACCTTTCAGCAAGATGAAGACCCAAATTTTATGCAGGTTCAGACCCAAAATACACAGTTTTTCAGATTAGTTGAAATCAATACCCCACCCACAGAAACTAAATAAATTAGTCAATTTGCAGAGAGAAAGGAGAAAATAACTGAAAAAATATGCAGAGAGAAAGGAGAAAAGAAAACAAAGGGAATAGCAGGAAGACAGATTAGGAGGAAGAAGGGCCGGCAGATTAAAAAAGAAAAGACAACCACAAACTTCCAATGCACCTGTACAATTACACTAGACAAACCTCTGGGCTTCATCCTATCCACCCCTGCAGCTGGATGGCAGCCAGGGTTTTTAATTTTCGTGTCCTTCAAATTATAAACCATAACACAAATCAAATATAAACTGCTGATTTAGTCTGTTAGAAGATCACCTGAATGGAAAGCCAGATTGCTTCCATGACCATTATGTCCTCAAGATCAAGGTCAAATTCATCTTCCCTGCAAATTGTAGGCATTCTTTCAGTATTCATTGAATGAAAGTGGGAAAAAAATTCAGATCATGTTTGCAGTGTCAAAAAAGATGCAGACCCAAAAGATGTCAAATAAATAAGAATCGATGTAATCATTATACATTATGAAAATCCACTTCAAAGAAAGAAGCAACCAAGTCAGTTTTTCCAAATGGAAAACCACAAACCATAGAATAAATGATAATTACTCCAGTAAGACTGAAAGTTACTTTGATACTGTCCACAAAATAGGAAAAAAAAGGGAATGGTTATGTTTTCCCTAGCAAAGTTCCTTTCTTTTTTTTTTTATATAAATTCTCTCCAGCCCCATAGACTAATTTGATTTACTGATATTTAGGTCATGTTTGGGAGTGCTCAAGTTAAAAATAAGTGCTTAAAAACAAGTACTTATTCGAATAAGCACTTATTTGCATTTGACACCCAAGTTCTTCAAGTGCTTATTTTTTAAAATAAGCACTTATTTTTTAAAATAAGCACTTATTTTATATTGGACATTTGGTAGCCTTTTTCTCTAATAAGCACTTAAATAAGCATTTGTGACTATTTGTCCTTCATTTTTTTTTTTCAAAATATACCCTTTGAAAGCACTTAATCTGGTCAGAAAGGAACAGAAGAGTCTTTAGCAACAAATCAAAGAGCACTGAGGAGATTGTGCGGCAGGCTGTCAGCAAGCTGATTTCTTGGGTGTCTGTAGCCCCTGATTTTAAAAATTTGAATGTTCCTGAGTTGTTTAGATCTGAATCCATTTGGGATCTGTATCCTATCCTGTGATCTGAGTAGCCACTTGTGGTTAGCTCTCCTGTTGTAGCGAGTCTTTTCTGAATGAATAAATTTCTTACTTTACCTTTCAAAAGAAAGCACTTTTATTAAATTACTTTTATAAAAACACTTTCATGAAAGTACTTTTATGAAGCAGTTTTATTTAAGTACTTTTACGAAATCACTTTTAAGAAAGTACCCTTACAAAAGCACTTTTACGAAAGTGCCTTCATAAAAGTACTTTCGTAAAAGTGCTTTCATAAAAGTGCTTTTGTAAAAGTACTTTCATAAAAGTGCTTTCGTAAAAGTGCTTTTATAAAATTACTTTTATAAAATTCAACAAAGGATAATTTTATAAGTGGTATTTTAAAATTCAACTAGGGATAATTTTGGAAGAAAAAATTGAATAAGTGCTTGTTGTATAAGCACTTAAAAAAAGATGGAAATTTGGGCTTAAAAAATAAGTCCTTATTTATTTTTTTATCAATAACAGTGCATTTTATTAAAAATTGAGAAAGTACAGAAATATTGAGCTAAAAAATAAGCCCTTATTTTTAAAATAAGCACTTATTTCGGGGTTATTTCCCAAATACCAATAAGTGCTTAGTGGCCCAAATAAGCACTTATTTTTAAGCACTCCCAAATATGGCCTTAAAACGATTTCTTGTAAAACAGTAACATTTTCTTCTTTTGCTTTCTCATGCCAAGAGGTTAATTGTATTGATGCAGGATCTTTATGATTCAGAACTATATTTGCAACCCACTTAGGTCTAGATGTGTAGCACACAAAGAACTAAAAGAGAAAGAAGAGAAGAGAAGAAGAGATGGAAATAAGAGGAAACCCTAGGCAATCACACCTAAGGGTGAGGGCAATCACACCCCCAAGTTGGCAATCACACCAAATTCTGTAGAGAACTTTCTTTCTTCATTAGCAAAAACTGTCCCCCAAATGAGCCTTACAAGCTTAATAAGAAGAGCTTCCAAAGGAAGAAACTTGCCCCCCAAGTTAGCTTGCCCAACAAGCCACTTACAAAAAGAAGCTAGATTAGACTAAGACTGCCCCCAAACAATTACAAACATAAATCCAAACAAAGGGAAATTACTAGAGTAAGACCTGTTCCCAAACATACCCCCCCAAGCATGCAAAATTAAAAAAATACCCTTACAGTCCAGAAACGTAAGAAAACTAAATAAGTCATGTCCAGCAGCAAGCTCATCCACACAAAGAGCACCTTAAGGTGGATTGAAGGCTCTAGGGTCTTCCCAAGTTGACCCACTGCTAACCTAGCTCCCATGTGGGCCCCACGTATTAATAATGATGCTAAATGAGCATAGGAGCAGCTTTGGTTCTCTTTTGATCATATTCTAGAAAAGCCTCAATAACAAGAAAACCATTGGAATGACACCATAGGAATAGTTAGTCAACTACTCATGAATGTAATATTCAGGATCAAATTTGATGGGTAATTAACAACCTAGACAATGCTCTAATGTCAAAAGATATGCATTTTCCCTTATTTGTGTGCTCTTTGCCTAAAGAGTGGTAAGAATGCCAGCCACCTATTCCTGTCTTGACCTTTCACATCTAATGACATCAGCAATAGAAAACACAGCAAGAAAAAGAAAAAATAGCCTAGAATCACTTCAATTTTTGGTAATCCTTGGGTTCAGCATATATCCATACCATTCTTGCAGTAGTAATAATCTCATAAACTCTGATTAATATTGCAAATCCNCAAAAAAAAAAAAATTAATAGAGGAAAACGTGGAAGAGCACAAACTTGCACAAGTCCATAGTGCAGAATGGACTAAACAAGATCCAATCACTTGGACATTTTCAGAAAAGTAATAAACCAGAAAGTAAGAAACTCACATGCTGGACATGGAAATGTGAAGGCTTGGGAAAGGAGAGTCCCTCTACCACACAATTCATGTGGTCTGTGACCATCTTTAGCTAACCTTGAAATGTGACCTGGCATAATTGATCCGGGTGCATGATCCCAGACGTGCAGATCTTTTGTTGTAACTAATAAAGTAACTCAAAAGAAAAGACAAAATGGGAACAACAATAAATAAAATCTTTTATCAGCTAGAAGTTGCAGAACTAATAATGGCCCAATAGAAGAGGAATATTTATCAGACGCTTTCCATACAAGACAACAATCTCAGTCTCAAGTCTGGGAGAGTGAGCACTTTTCAAGAGAGAAACCCTAACGCTGTGTTTGGTTTGAAAGAAAAAAATTCTTTCAAACCAAACACTGCCTAACTGGTAACAGGCCTCTATTTAAGCTTTCACTGCTCAGCACACCTCCCTTTCAATACAGATTCAGGGGGAAACTCTTGCAATCTCTCCACTCAGTCTCCAACTTTCAAACCCTGACTGACCAAGCCAACCCCCATCCTCCCACAAAAGTGTTTTAGCAAGTATACTGCCACAAAATTAAAAGAAGGAAAATAAAGCTTAGCATTCTGGAAATGATCTCCTTTTTCATTCTCCTACTCCCTTGGCTTGGCATTACCAATCTTCCAAGGAACAAATTGAATGCCCTTTAACAAGATATTCTCATAAACTAGAAATGTTTTATCCAGAAGCAGCCCTCATAACCACTAAAATAATGCCACATGCCACCTATATTAAAGAATAAAAACTTATTTAAGTAACATAATCCTACAAAATCTAAGACTCCGATTGTTGCACGTACTGAAACAAGGAAAGAATACATAGAAAAACTGAGAAACAAATCAGTTTTTCATTTTTTGATTGGAAACGGTGACTCTCATTAAATAGTAATTAATCATCATACACTGTCAACCACTCAGAATATGAGTATTGACCCCAATCAATTTCAAAGAGTTACAATACAGCCCAAAAGAAGTTTTCCGTGAAAGCCCCCTGCTTTGCCAAACTATCAGCCACAGAGTTCGCTGACCTTGTTACCCATTTGAAAATTACCCCGGCATCCCTTGCTAAGCAAAGTATTCCCCTTAATTGTTGTCTAAAAGTCCATACGTCCAGATTTTTTTGTCTGCAGCAATCCTATTAACAGTTTAGAATCTCCCTCCACCTCAAAATTTTGAAATCCCCATTGCTTGGCTAATCTCAAGCCTTGTAGTAGAGTCATAATTTCAGCTCTCAGAGCGTCTCCCACATCTATGGGACCAGAATATAGTGCCATTTTTTGAAGAGTAAAATATAAAATTTTATTAATAAAAAAACAGATACAAGCTGTTCACGTGTCAAGATGACACCTAACTAAAAGCAAAAAACATACATCAAGAGCTTCAGTTCAGACAATCTATGTTTTGGGCTGTATTGTAGCTAGGAGAATGTTTCTGTTGGGTTACCTTTTGGGATGTGTTGTAATTAAAGGGATTGGTTTGGGTTTGTTTAGGGCTGTGATGTATTTAGTGGACTAAGTGGAATGCTTGTCCGCCACAACTTCTTGGTGAACTTGAATTTCTAACTAATGAATTTTCTGTGTTGCTGATCAAAAAAAAAAAAAAAAGAAAAAAGAGCTTCAGTTCAGACTGAACTGACTCATATTACATCTTTGAATCTCTAAGGTATCCCAAAAATTGTCAGCAAAGTCTGAAGGTCTAGTTTGCTCAAATTCTGGAAGGGACATAACCCAGCTTGTTATGAGTTTGCCAACCGAAGTCACAATCTCTCCAGTGCTCCTTTCCTTTCCTTTCCTTCGAATAGGCTCCTATTTCTTTCCCCCCACAGATTCCAGCATACTGCAAAAGGAATGCAATTCCAAACAATTTTAGCTCTCAAGCTGCCTCCGAACTTTGGCCACAAGGAAAAGATCTCAGGCTCTCAGCTGAAGAAGAAGGTTGAAAGATGGACATTCCAAATAGGAAGCAGTAGAAGCTCCAAATGAAATTTGCTATATGGCAGGAAAAAAACAAATGAATGAACAGTTTCCTCCTCCGATTTGCACATGTAGCAGTAGCAAACCAAGCAAAACCCCTTCTTTTTAGGTTATCTGATGTCAGGATACTATCTATTGCAGCCAACCATGCAAAAGCTTCAATTCTTGGTGGAACTGGATTGCCCCATATTCCACACAGTCGATCATTAACTACCCAGTCCTTAATAAGGGCCATGTAAAATGATTTCACTGTAAACTTTCCATTCCTGCACTCCTTCCACCACTGACCATCTTTGCAAGCAGTAGAAATACTGGTCTGCTCCAATCTTTTCAG